GTACATTGGTTAGACATCTATATAGTTAGTAAAATGATCCCCCCAATTGCTCCCTCCCTTCCCTGTCCCTCCACCTAGCCAATGTATTAATGCTAACTGCATTCCTTATGCCATGCTTTCTATCCCCATGACCATCCACCGGCGACTAATTTGTACTTCTTTAACCCTTCACCCCATTTTCCCAGCCCCACAAACCCCGCTTCTCTCTGTCCGTCACCAAATTGTCCACTATATTTGTGAGTCTGTTTTTGATTAATTTGTTCATTTTATTCCTCAAATTCCACATATAAGTGAAATCATATAGTGTTTATCATTCTCTGTCTGACTTAAATACCTTCTCGGTTCATCACAGCAATATCTTTTTCCATTTCCTTCCTTTTCATATGTAGGGGTCTTGTTTTCTTATCCTCTCAGCAACTCCATCCCTGGGTCAGAGCACTTAATTCTTTTCCATTTAAGGTACTTATTGATAGGAATGTACTTGTTACCATTCTTTATTCCCGTTTTTGCTACATGTTTTTTCTTCTTAAACATGTCTCTCCAACATTTCCTGTAATTCTGGCTTGGTGGTGATAAATTCCTTTAGTTTATTTTTGTTGGGAAGCTCTTTATCTGTCCTTCAACTCTAAATGATAACTTTGCTGGATAAATTATTCTTGGTTGTAGATCTTGGGTCTTCATCCTGTCGAGTATTTTTTGCCAAGCCCTTCTGTCCTGCATAGTCTCTCTTGAGAAATCAGCTACCAGTCGTATGGGTGTTCTCTTATATGTAATTATTTGTTTTTCTCTTGCAGCTTTTATGATTCTTTCTTTGTATTTAAACTTTGGCATTTTAATTATGATGTGTCTTGGTGTGGGCCTCTTTGGATCCCTGATTTTTGGAATCCGCTGAGCTTCCTGGGGTTTTATGTCCATTTCCTTCACCAGGTTAGGGAGGTTTTCCATCATTATTTCTTCAAACAGCTGTTCAACATCTTGATTTTCTTCACTTACACTGATGAGATGAATATTTGGAGCCTTAATAGTATCTCATATTCTCCTTAAATCATCTTTATAGTCTTGGGCTCTTTTTTCTTGCCATTCTGTGAGTGTCCTGATTGGCTTTCTTGTCTTCTAGATAGGGCACATGATCCTCTTCTTTATTCACTTTGTTTATTCCTTTGTTTATTCCATTTAATATACTTCTCATCTCAGATAATGTGTTCTCCATTTCAGACTGGTTCTCTCTTATAATCTCCATCTCCATTTTTATCTTTTTGTTGGAGTTCTCTACATTTCCCAAAAGTTTATCGAGCACCTTTATAACCAGTGTTTTGAACTCTGCATCTGTTAGATTACTTGACTCCATTATATCTGGATCTCAGTTCTCCTCTTTCATATGGTTTCTGCTTCTTTGTCTTCCCATTTTGGCTGCCTTTCCATGTCTGTTTCTATGTACTAAGCAAGCTCCTAAGTCTCCTGGTCTTATTAGTGTGCATTTGTGAAGTAGGTGTAAAGTTGCACAATCCTGAGAGGGGTTCAGCTGCAGGCCAAATTTAGCCCAAGCTTCTACCTCTCTGGAGCCACCTGTCAAGATTCAGCAAGCAATCCACAGATGCTGTGCTTATAGTTGCCTCAAAAGGCCACACCAAAAAATGAGGCCATCTGCCTCCAGTGTGAGTCTAGGCACTGCTCAGCAAAATGCATCTGACTCACTGAGGATACACCTGGATGTGGCTTGGGTGGGGCCCGAGTTGAGGTAGGCGGGGTTTCAGGGAATCCTCTGGGCAGAGTGACCTCTGTTATCCAGTTTAATGATGTTACAGCTATGCTGGCGCTGTGTCTGAGCACTGGGAGAGGAGAGGGCTCAACAGGGAACAATGGATACCACCAGCAGTTCTGTACCAAGCAAGTCTCACTTGACCCTCACTCCAACAATATCTCCCTGTAAGTCTCTCGTGCCCCCTACACACAGCTGAAGGAACACTAATATTCAGAGTGAATAGGTCCGTCACCGCAAAAATCTGCTCGTGGCCCCTTTAAGAGGTGTCTGCCGCTGCCACTGCCACAACCTTCATCTCACTCAGCGGCTCTGGACCCGGTTGCCCTGCATCCTCACCCTGTCCTACCTTCTGCTGTTGCAGGGAGATTTCTTGGATTTCTCCCCAGTTGTATGGTTTGTTCATCTAGATCTCAGGTGATTTTTCTTTGCTGCTGCTCCTTGTTTCTGTCACAACTTTGATTTGGTTGCCAGAGGAATGAACAGAGCCTCTGTTATCTACAATATATTTTTTCTTCTCCATAAAATATATTTTTTAAGCCTACACTTTTCTCCAAAGTTCCAAACACATGTTCGACTACTTACTAGGTATTTCTACTGAGATATTCTATAAGCATTTCCAACTCAAGATGTTCTAAACAGAATTCTTCCCTCCAAAACCTACTCCTCCTTTATTCTTCACCTCAGTTGTCTGAGATAGAAGCTCAGAAATATTCTCCTTCTCTCAAACCCCACATTCAGTCACCAAGTTTTGTCTATTCTAGATCATCGTTTGTGACTCATTTTCTTACTCTCACTGTCTTGAGTTGAACCTTCATTATCTATTTTCTGAATTGGTAACAAAAAAAAGAAAGAAAAAGAAAAAAGAAAAAAAAAACATTTCAACAGAGCTTTTTGCCTCTTTCTTTTCTCTACAATTTTGTAGTTGCCACCACAGTCTTATTTCTGAAACATAAATCTAACACTATCACTCCCTTGCTTAAAATTTTTTCGTGGCTCCACAACGTTTTTAGGATAAAGATCAAATTATTTTAGCATGGCTCAATAGAATTATCTCAATCTGGCAATAGACAAATCTATCCCCCCAAATAATCTAAAATACGGAAAAAGTTATAGACACAGAGTTGCTAATTAGGTACTCTATTAGTTTCCTATTGGTGTTGTTACAAAATACCACAAATTTAAAGCCTTAAAATAACACAGAGGGAAGATAAAAAGATCCCTGAACTTTGCAACCTTGGATTTATTTCTGTGTAGATGAATAACTTCTATCTGCTTAAGTCACGGTTCAATGGGCTTTCTGTTATTTGCCTCCAAATGCAACTGTAACTGAAAAAAGTACTTCTATAATTAAAATAAAGAAGAAAAATTGTCTTATTCCAAGTTCGTTTCCCGATTCCTTGTTATCAATTCCATGAATACACCAAGGCCTCTGTTCTTCTCGGCTCTTCTCACGCTCTTTCCCCTAATGCCTCTTAATGTCTCTCCATCTTTTTCTTTGTCTAACAAACCCCTGCTCATCCTTTATAGCCGAGTTCAAATGTTATGCCCCACAAAGTCTTTCCGAGGCTTTTCTTCAAACAGATTTATCATCATTGTTCCCATGGCATTTTGTCTATTTTTCTATGATAGCACTTTTTACACTGTATTGTTTTCTTGATTGTCTCCTCTACTGAACTGCAACTAACATGTGAGAAACTGGAGAGTCAAAACCATATTTTGTATTTCTTCCCTCAAAAGCTGACATAACACTCAGTACATAGTAGGTGCATAATAAATGTTTTTCAAATAAGTAAACACAAGAATAAAGAACAATGTCTATATGTTTAAATCAAATACCATCCTCCCTTTCCTCGATTAATCCCTGTTTTCACTCTGTTCTTTTGGTTTTAGTTGATAAAAGAATAGTTGAGGAGTTGGAAGTTAGGGTATGGGTATCAGTACTTGGACCATTTTAATGTGGAGAGACCATTTTAATTAAGGTGGGAGTGGAGAGACTTTGAAAACACAATTAATTAAAAGTAGGAAAAAATTGAGAAGGATAGTAAGTAATGTAGGGCAGAAATTGAGAAGTAAGAATGAGAATCCCTCAATTTCTCATATCTTGAATCATGATCTTGACGTAAGAGTTTGTTCATTTCCTTCTTCCTGGGAGGGTGTTTGTACCTGGCTGTTTTTAGATTAGGCTCTGGAAGTTTGCCATAAACCTTCATGATGCAGTCCCGCTCCTTGTTATGGTGGGGACTAAGGCAGCTCTCACCTACGTCATAGAATTAAGAATGAGAATCCCTCAATTTCTCATATCTTGAGTCATGGCCAAAAGCAATGTGGCTTTAGCAGATCTGGCCCAAACTAAAAGTCACAGTGTTGAGGGTTTGAATTCCAGCTCCACTTAACACCTAGTTGGATGATGAGGAGGTAGGTCACTTATGTCCATCTTCCTTTGACACGATTTCTTTCTCCAAGAAAGAGGACTAGAAAGACTTGCCTGCCCAGCTCACAGAATGTGCAGATCAAAAGGGATCAGTCTTATGGATAAGATTTGCTATGACACCCAAGGCAAATGTGAATCATGTAGCTTTATTACATGTAGGAAAAACTCAATAAATATTTGGTGAATAATTGAATGAATGAATGAATGAATGAGCCCAGTTTGCTGATTATCTGATTTAAATCAAAGACTAAAATATAGGAACGACTTCATGTTTAGAGTTTACATGGGACATCACCAACATATATAACATCATCATTACAAAGAAAGCTCTTTTCCCTCTTAAGTTGCTAATCCTTAGACTTTCTTTATATGGGACAAAACTTTTTATTCTATCATTTGTGATATAGCTTGAAATGCACTATGCATCAAGATTTAAATCACATTAAGGAATATATGACTATTTTCCTTTTTTAAAAGCATGCTTTAATATGAACTAAAGGGAAATTTGTTTGTTTTGTTTTAAACTTTAAATAGTAATATTTGCTGCACTGCTAGAAGGGAGAATAATGTGTGGTCTAGAAGCCAGCTATTTACCGCTCTGGTAGGCTATAAAAGAATCCTTCTCTACTTCCTCCATCTTTCTATTCAAGAAATTTTGGACCTCCTGCTTAAATTTAACCTGACGGTTAGCTATAATATTAATTTGAAGTTAAAAATTAACAATAAAGGCTACATAACATCTATATATCTGACTTGGAAGACTATTAAAGTAGATCACAGGAAATTATATTAATCCCATACCAAATACCCACTAATCTGCTCTTGCTATGATCAAAATGGTCATCACAAACACCATAATGAAAAATATCCACATGAAGAATCGGTCTATGACTTTTGCAACTTTCTTCCATTCACCCCCCTTCGAATTGGTGGCTTTGTGGTCTTTGAGGCATTTGGCAATGTATTCAATATTCCTTGTCAATACTTTGTACCGTGCACAGTAACTACCACCATCCTGCTGGTTCTCACCCTCGTACTCCAAGTCATTCTTTAAGAGTTTGTTCATTTCCTTCTTCCTGGGAGGGTGTTTGTACCTGGCTGTTTTTAGATTAGGCTCTGGAAGTTTGCCATAAACCTTCATGATGCAGTCCCGCTCCTTGTTATGGTGGAGACTAAGGCAGCTCTCACCTACGTCATAGACAAACAAGATCCTGGACATGTATTTCAGGATGACCACCCTGGCCCAGTGTGGCACTGGCCGGGCCTCGGACCCACAGAAGTGGATATTCATCACCATAATGGTCAAGGCAGTGGAGGCTGTGATCAAGGCCATCGTGGCTATGTAGTATTTGCCTGGAAAATAAGAGCAACCAAGTTAGCTTAAAATTGTCCTCAAGTTTGGCTCAAAAAACAACCACCTATTATAAAGAAGCTGTGTACACTAATGATTACTAGTATAGACTGCTGAATCAAACTTCTTGGGGTCAGTTCTCAACTCTGTCACTCAGTAGACTTGTGGTCTGAAACAAGTTATATAATTCTGCTAAGCTCAGCTTTTTTTCTTTGTAAAATGGGTATAATAGTATCTAATTTATAGGAATATGGTGAGGCTTGATTGAGATGATACATGTAAAGTCCTCAGCACTGTCCCTTGCATTGAGTTAATAGGTTTATAAATGTTTTATGAGATCAGGATATGAAAATTTCCACTTTCAACAAACAAACAAACAAACAAACAATTAAAGATCTTGGCCAGTTCTCAGAATTATCTTCAGATCTCAGTATCATGAAAGCTCATTCCTATTGAGTAAGAAAGGAGATACTGTGTCCCTATTAGTCATTAACAAGTGATCACATAAAGCAAATATCCATGAAAAGAAAAATTAAAGAAGGAAACAATAAAGGTAAGGGTATAAATTTATGATATATAGAACAAAAAACCGAGAAGATGAAGAAAACCATAAGCAAGGTATTTGAAAAGAGTAATAAAATTGATAAACTTTCAATAAGGCCACTCATGAAATGGAGGTAGGGTGGTGGGGGGAAGAGAAAGAGAGAGAGAAGATGCAAAAGAGGAAATAACAGAATAGAAGTTTAGAAAACAATAAAATAATATAAATAGCTGATAATAATACATGTGAAAAACCTAGATAGAAATGGGAATTAATAAAATACTTGTATTGCTCATTCCCAACAAATGCTCTAGGGCCAAAAGTTTTCATAGATGAGTTTTACCAAACCTTTTTTTTTTTTAAATACCTACAGCACATGGTCTTCCTAGGTGGTCTCCCATCCAAGTACTAATGAGGCCTGACCCTGCTTAGCTTCTAAGATCAGACATTGGGCTTGTTCAGGGTGGCCATAGACCATGGACTGTGGCTCCATTGGGGTGTGAACCCAGGACATTCTGCATGTAAAGCAGATGTGCTAACCACTACACTATGGAACCACGTCCTTACCAAACTTTTAAGTAACAGATAAATCATATCTTATGCAAACTGTTCCATATTAATGGGGTAAAAAACAAAACCTACATGATTATTTTATCAGATGAAGACAATACAGTTGATAATGTTTATCATCTGTTTATTACTTGTTAAAAGCTCTGACTAAACTAAAAGTAAATGGGACCTTTCTTAATATGGTAAAGGCTATTTTTTTAAATACCTACAGCACATGGTCTTCCTAGGTGGTCTCCCATCCAAGTACTAATGAGGCCTGACCCTGCTTAGCTTCTAAGATCAGACATTGGGCTTGTTCAGGGTGGCCATAGACCATGGACTGTGGCTCCATTGGGGTGTGAACCCAGGACATTCTGCATGTAAAGCAGATGTGCTAACCACTACACTATGGAACCACGTCCTTACCAAACTTTTAAGTAACAGATAAATCATATCTTATGCAAACTGTTCCATATTAATGGGGTAAAAAACAAAACCTACATGATTATTTTATCAGATGAAGACAATACAGTTGATAATGTTTATCATCTGTTTATTACTTGTTAAAAGCTCTGACTAAACTAAAAGTAAATGGGACCTTTCTTAATATGGTAAAGGCTATGGGCCAGAAGCCTAGATCAAATACTACTTTTATGAAGAAAACTTAAACACATTTCTATAAGATTGGAAGTACATTTCATAGGTGCTACAAATAACAAATTATGATTGTTAATAAACATTCTCAAGGTCTGTGTACACCCTTCCTAAAAAAGATACATTTCATACTACCACAGAAACAGAACAGGTAATGCTTTCAAAATTTCTAAGAAATGTCCTAAAACATCTCTCTTCAGAAACTGAGCCAGCTCGTTATTGAATGTCAGTGTTAAAGAAGAGAGAAGAATCTGCCAACTGGTCCTGCCTCAAATAGGGTTGTGATTGGATGCCATCACTGTCAATCATTTCTGCCTCAAGAGAGGTAATAAAAATGCCAATACCTCTCTTCTTCTTTATTAGTAGTGGAGTAGGGGGAGGGGAGAAAACCCTCTGTGTCTATTTCTTTAAAAGGAGTATGTGCTTGTGTGTCTGTATGTGTGTGTTTGTCTGTGTGTGTGTCTATGTTTTGCTTGGAAAGGCATAACAAGAAAGAAATCTCCGAAGAACCAATGTAGTAACATCTGAATATTGGGTAATACTGGATTCAGTAAAGGGTAAAAGGGTGGAACAATACCTCTTTGATATTAATCTCTAAGTCTCTTAGTGTTGTGAAATCTCTCTTCACTGCTTACCTTAAGGAACTAAAAATTAGGTCTAGCTTCTGATTCAGGTAAGCATCTATTACAACAGCATGTCACTAAGAGGTGTTGGAGCTGAATGGTATCCTTGTGACAGAGAGTAGGTGTTGAAGATGTTAGGAGGGATCTCAGTATAAGGAATGTAAATGGGAGACAGAAATGGTAGTCTAAGTTTACAGTCCCGCCCTCAGAGAGACATTTCTTTATTACAGATTTTTTAAAATGTGCTCTAGTTTAGAATCATCTCAGATTCCCAAATGTTGCTTAAGATTGTAAATCAAACTCTCTCAGTATAGGAAACTTCATTTTAACAAGACTTCCCACACCTATTATACCAAATAAAAGTTGAAAATTATTATATTAAGAGTAGATGGTAGGCTTAAAAATCCAGTTCATCATTTCTACCATGTTTGCCACTCTTCCCAAAAAGAGACACCTTGGGATGTGAAAAGATGAAATTAGCCACTGTTTACTTGGTACCTATCATGTACCAGGTTCTGTGCTAAGCAACGATACATAAGGTAGTAGTTATTCAAATTTATAGCAGAGACTCAAAGATTAGGTAACTAGTCTAAGATTGATCAAGAAGTGAATGGTGAAGTCAGAGTTTAAATGCAGATTTCTTTGACTTCAAAATCAAGATAAGGCCTTTCATTTATAACCAGTGTTTTTTTAGATTTGAACAAAAAGTGCATCAAAATCACCCAGAAGTTTTGTTAAAACATTGTAGCCCTTGCCCCCAGAGTTTCTAATTCAGGAGGTCTAGGGTGGGCCCTGAGCATTTGCATTTCTAAAACAATGTTGTGGGTCTGAGACCACACTTTGAGAACTACTGCTCTAAACTATATTGCCTCTCAGTCTTCTTTTGTGTCAACCTGGAGACCACAAGACCAGTTTCGTTTGCAACAGCCACATATGTATTCAAAGATTCTAACTGAAGACACTAAATAAAGCAAGTGACAGCCTGTGCTGAGTATGAAGCTAACCTAACTGTTATGAGTTTAAAGGCACAAACATAACCCCGATCACTACAAAGTTAGGCTCAAAGTGTAAGACACTTGAACTCACCTATCAGAGGGACATTTTCTGAGGCTGGCATGATCTCTGCCACCATGAGCTGAAATACAGTCATGGCCAAAAGGATGGTCACTCCCAGGGAGACCTTTTCTCCAGAGGCTGCTGGGAGATAAAAACTCAAGGGAGCCAGAAAAGATATGAGGATGCATGGGATGAGGAGGTTGACAATATAGAATGAGGACCTCCTCTTCAGAAGGAGAGTAAATGTCACATCCGGGTAAGGCTCAGAGCAGCAGCCATAGGAGATCACATTCTTCACAGCAGGCATGCCATGAACCTCCCACTCTACATCTTCAATGAAGTCAGAGAGGTCTCCACTATCCAGGGAGTTGAATATGTCCACCTGATTGCCATTGTAAGTCCAGGAACCAAAGGTCAGGTTACACTGCTGGTTATCAAAGGGAAAGTAGGTGACATCTACCACACAAGAGCTTTTGGTGATGACTGGTGCATCCCAGGTGATCAGCCCATCGTACCGCAGGACCACATTGGTGTTCACAGGCTCAGAAGATTCATCATCTGCCCTGGAGGTTATGGAAGGAAAATGAAAGCAACTTACCAGAAGAACTCACTAACCTATTACTCCAGACAGCTTACCAACCTGTGCCCATCACTTTAGTGTCTTTGGCAATGAATCATCATTCTCCTTATCAGCTTGGTTTGAAAATCTGTAATCAACTCTTAATTTTCCCTTTCTCCATTTCCTGTCACTAGTCAGGGCTGAGTTCTCTTGGATCTTCCTTTAAGCATCTCTGCTCTATGTCCTTTCCTCTTCATTCCCAGTGCTATGATCTTGGTAAATGTATAATGATTTATACATCCAGGCAAAAAGTAAACCTGTCAAAGCTAAAATCTGCTTACCTGATTTTGTTAACTTTGGACACAAGAACATTAAAACAACTTTTTGTCGCTGTTGGAAAAATTGTACATATTTACTGAAGAACATTTGGAAAATAGAAAAAAAATTCTTTCACCCATAATCTAAGAGATAATAATTTATTCTGGATAAATTTTCTTTTTGTTTTATTGACATTTATGCCTGGCATTTTTGGGTACAGAATTTCTGTTTTCATTTGGAAAATACCATGATAGAAGTTAGGATTTTCTGTCAAGGGACACAGCCAGCCAAAGATAAGTCTATAGGAAGGGAGAAAGAGAATGCATACTCCAACCTCACTTTCTTTTCTTCCTCCATTTGCCCACTGGCCTTCCCCATTGGCCAAACCTAACCAGAAACCCACTGTCTGTAAACATCACCCCAGCTACTCAAGAGGCGTTTAAAGACATTACTATTTATTCACTTCATGACTCAAACTGTTTTATATCTCTGGTTTCTCTGATCATATTATTTTATGGCTCAAAACTTGCAAGAGTTTTCCATTGTCCACCAAATACTTCCAGAGTTTCTTTGTTTAGTATTCTAGATGTTCCACGATCTACTCCAATTTCACTTTGCAGCCTGATGACTCCCACTGGTTTCCTTCACTCACACTCCACCAGCCAAGGCTGAAACCCTAACAGATCTTGTGAGTTTCTCTCTTTTACTCAAACTCTTTTCTCTGTCTATAATATTCTGTATGTATAAACCTAATACATCCTTCAAAACCCATCTTCTCTGAGAATCCTTTCCTGCCTCTCCAGTTGGATGAAATTTCTATCTTTAAATGAACATGACACTTTATTTTTATGTAATAAGGGATTTACATTTTTACCCTGTGTTATAGTTTTTACATACATTTCTTATTAGACTGTTCCTTCAGGCCAGAGACTGAGTTTTAAGATCCTAATTTATCCCTCAAGACACTACAGAATGCCTTGCACAGGAGAAAGATTTAACAAAGAAGGGTAGGTAGTTAGGTAAGTGGATTGGTTGAATAAATAAGGTTCATTCTCATTTAGAAAGTGGAATAAATTTATAGAAATATCACAGAGATTTTGGTTCAAAATCTGGTTGGGTTTTGTAACTTCAAGCAAATCTGCCTCTTGGGAAAATTTATTGTTTAAGTTATTAGTTATTATTTTTTAAAATTACTTATCTTTTCTTGAACTTCTACTCATTGTCTTGGATTCAGGCACCAGTGGTGAATCTGGATATTAAGCATCATCCTGCCCAACTATCTTTATCATCCCTGACTGGATCACCTCTTTCCTCTCCCCACCACCATTCAAGAAGCCCATTTTGTGGTCTACAAGGTTCTATACCAGCTTCTGAGAAATAGTGACATTATATCTGGGCTCAGAAGATTCTGCGGGTCTAGGGATTCAGCTAGAAAGACCAGGGTCAAGGAAATGGCCATGACTCGGGTAGCTCCTTTGCCTAATCCTATAATTCTCTTCAATTCTCATTTTAGTTGACTGAAAAAGTGCAAATGACATCCATCCACAGCTACATTTAGAGTTTCCTCTAAATAGTAAAACTCTGACATTACTGAGAAGAACATAAAGAAGAGAGGATCTGTAATATAACTGTCGGTGACAGAAGATCAGGGAAAACTATAGAGTTAACCCAAAGGAACAGAAAAGTATTGATTAATCAATGTGGTGAAAGGTTCTGTGTGTGAAAGGATGGGGAACAGAACTCACATCTCAAGCGGAGGAAGGAAGAGAGGATGAGGATAGAATTTAATAAAGCCATGGAAAGTTTGTGTGAGCTCATAAGCACGTAACTGGCTTCTCTGACAAGAGAAGACTGGGGTAGGCTTAACTTACATTACCATGCAAACTTGCAAAACAGCATTTCAGTAGGAGCTGGTCACTGCTTCAGCCAATCAAAGTGAGAAGGAGAAAAGAACCAGCATTCTGTTTGTTTTCCAGGAAAAATTGTTTTATAGAATGCTGTAGATGATCTATGTAAACTGTATTCTCTGATTATTCCCCTGCACCCTGTGGGTGAGAGGAGGTAATGGACAACAGGTTTCATTCTCACCTTGTGTGTGTAGGAGAGAGAGGGAGAAGGAGGGGAGGGAGGG